AATAAATAAAATAAAATATTTTTTAAAATACTTTATGAAAAACTGAGATATTTCATATCTATTAGACTTACAACAATTAAAACATCTGAACATACAGAGGATTAGCAAGGATGGGAAGAAACAAACACTTGAAAAGTAGTTTAATAGCATCCCTGAGGTTGGAAATGGAACTACCCTATGACCCCACAATCTCACTTATAGATGAATACCAGGTCCACTCTCTCCTGAGGGCCCAGCACAGAGGAAAGGGAGGCCAGTGGGACATGGAATTAGCAGGGGGTGGAGGGAGACTAAGCAGGCTACTAGGAGAAAGGCTTCAAGTGGGACCTAGACCAGGTAAGATAATATCAGATGCCATGCTTACCCAGGGCAACCTCCTCCCAAACAGCAGCTGAATCAGTTTATCTTCTACAGCCAATCTGACTATATTATTTCCTCCTTAAACTTCACCAGCTAAAACTTCCTAGAGCAGAATCCCAACTTGTATCCGTTTCCTGTGGCTGCTCTAACAAATTTCCATAAATTTAGTGGCTTAACACAAGACAAATTAATTACCTTACAGTTCCACAGATTAGATCTGAAGTCAGACATGGTTCTCAATGAGCTGGAATCAAGGAGTAAGCAGGGCTTTGTTCCTTTCTGAGGCTCTGGGAAAGAATCCATTTTATTGCCTTTCCCAGCTTTTCCTTCATTCCTTGGCCCATGACCCCTTCCATTTTCAAAGCCAGAAATGATGGATAATTTTCCTCATTTCATATCACTGAAACTGACTCCTGTGCCTACTTCTTCCACATTTAAGGATCCTTGTGATTACGTTGGGCCCACCTAGGTAATCCAAGATAATATCCTTATTTTAAAATTAGCCGATAGCCTTGGCTGGTGTGGCTCAGTCGGTAGAGTGCCAGCCTGCGAACTGAAGGGCCGCCAGTTCAATCCTCAATCAGGGCACATGCCTGGGTTGCAGGCCAGGTCCCTGGTTGGGGGCGTGCAAGAGGCAGCCAATAGATGTTTCTCTCACACATCTCTTGCATATTGATGTTTCTCTCCCTCTCTTTCTCCATCCTTTCCCCTCTCTCTGAAAATAAATAAAATATTTTAAAAAGTAAAATAAAATAAAATTAGCTGATTAGCAACAACCTTCATTCCATCTGCTACCTTAAATCCTCTTTGCCAAGCAATATAACAGATTCATAGGTTCTGTGGATTAGGATGTAGACAGCTTTAGAAGGCCATTATTCTACCTACCACACAGTCTCTTCTCAACCCTTCCCCTACACACATACCTCTAGTGGAGTCTCAACCCTTTCAAAATACCCTCCATGCCACCAGCCTCAGCATCACCACATACCCTGTTCTCCTATTACACTAACCTTCTTGCCTTTTTTTCCATTAATTTATATCCATCCATTCCCAAACAATTACAATTTATCCTCCAGAGCTCAGCCCAAAGGCTATGTCCTCTTTGAAGCCTTCTCTGATTTCTAGCCTAAATGAATCACCCCTCTTTCAGTACACTAACCCAGCTTTCTGTATATCCCAATTGCAGCCACGAGCATGCCTCCTGTAACCATCTGTTTACATGCTTTTCCCTCGGTCCAAAGTGGTGAGTCCTTCAATGATAAGAACTGTCTCATTTCCCTGTGGGTTCCCAGGTCATATCACAGAGCCTGGCAAAGAGTGAGCACCCAAAGAATATTTCTGAAGCTTGGAGGAGGCAGAAGAAAGCTGCCTTGGATTTCCCTCAACAAAACAGATGTGAAGAGTAACCTGGGTTAAGTGCACAACCAATAGGGCCAAAGAACTAGTTAAAATGCTCATAACAAAAACACCTCAGCAATCCACTGCTTAATTTGATGCACAATTTACTATCGTGTGGAAGAAACTCTATACCAAAAGTAACAGCCATTATTTTCTATTGCTAACCTGTGGGGCAATTCTAAAAGAACAGGTAAAATTAACCTCAAGAGAAATAAAGGATTTCTCTTAATGATTTACAAAGATGTTCTCAAAATTATAGAAGAGTAGATGTTGCTACAACTCAGCAGGAATGCCTGGAAACTGTCCAACAGCCCCACCACATAATCAGAGAACTCTGGCCCCCCTCCAGGAAGGGTGGGAAGCACAATACCAGTGAGTGTGAGGGGTGCTACAATTAAAGCTATTTAGGGAAAAACAAATTGCCTATATGTACAAATATCTGTATATGTTATAATAAAGGTACATTTTTAAGAGGGTGGTTGTTAATCAACCATGATCTCATTTGGTTTCAATGATCTGCTACTTAATGTCCATGGCTAGCAAGAAAATTTCCACCTGAGGAGGAAACTGAGCAAGGGAATGGAATTGTTGAGTCTGCACAATTGTCCACTCCATAAAAAAGAGACAATAATATGGCTTGAGTTTTTAAAATGCACACTTCCTTTCAAATTCAACGAAATTCCCCTGTTTGACTTTTCTTTAATAGTGTGAACTCTGAAATTCATTTTAAAACATACTCCAAAACCACTCTCATACTGGAAAGAAAAATTGAGGATGAAAAAAAAAAAAACGGATGACACGCATTCAGCACCATGGACAGTAGCCCGCAGCTTGCCTATACAGTCCTTGTCACCGGACTAAGATAATCAGAGTTGCCCAAAACACATAGTATTCATCCTAATGTCTAAGTGTGGGGATCATTCTAATGCATGAGCGGGTATTTTTCTCTGTTATGGCCCAAAGGGCCAGCCTTCTTCACCTAAGGGAACAACTTCTATCTACCAAAATCTGGTTCAGTGATCACTTTTACAATAAAGCCCTGAGATTTCTGTGAAATTAGGAATGACTTTGTCACTGACACATGGCTATGGGTCCAGAAATTGGCTACAGGTCAAGGAACTGAAATTGTTGAAACTAAAACACAGCATCCAGTCTCGAATGGCTAGATGGTTTCAAGGACCTCATGGGACTTTTACAAATATAAACACAGCATGCTCTGAGCCTCCTTCTAACAACAGGGAAAGAGACAGCTTCTTTTTAAACATCTAACAAAATGAGCAAGTGTTTAAATTTTCTCATAAATAAAAAAGTAACCATAAAGCTGTACATTTTCTCTAAACCTGAGTATTAATGATGACATCCAAAAAAGTGATGTTCTGAGGTCCAATATCACCAGTAATAAGCACCACCTTTGGCAACATCAGTCACAAAACCCTGAATTCTAAACAGGATACCCAATCTTTTCAGTTATAAAGTCTCCTTTTACCACAAACCTTTTCATAACTTTATAATATTGAGTATTAACTAAGAAAATACATAAAGTTGCGCAAATTTTAAAACTCATTTAATGAACTTGCACTGTATAAACAACAGCATCTACATACAAGAGAAAGACAATAATACTCAAAAGTGACCTACATCAATTGGTCAGTGACTACATTTATATGAAGAATGCTTGGTTTCCAGTGGATCTTCAAGACTGAAAATGCCACCCAAAACCACTCCAGTTCCTCTAATGTTAGGATCAATGAGGTCTTTTGGGATCTTGCCAACAGTCCCTCCAGAGTGCCACTGATCTTCAGTCCCTTGAACCAAAATGGGCCTCTCTGAGACATTTTAAGATTATGAGTTGTTCCTGCGCATGAGGAGGCTGGAAATCAGCGGCTTTCAACAGGGAAGCTCCGTTGCACACTACTTTGGTTCCCAATCTAAGTCAAGTTCAAAGAACAAAAAAGGGGCAACAGCTCATGCCTGTGCCAGAGGAATGGTGTGAACTGGAGGGTCTCTATGTTACCCAGGCTAGTCTCTAAGGCCTCTGGTCAAGGCCTGCTGGCCCTAGTATTCCTTTTTGTGAAGCGCATACCATAAGTCCTCATCAACCCAGAGAGTGCTCTGTCAGCTCACATACAGGGCAAACAGGCCCTGAAGTCTATGCTGCCTTGATGGGAAGGCAGAAGGAAGATAACCAACCCTACACACAAGCTTTAAGATCTGACTTTTTGTTAGCTTTGAAATGTGTTGCGTAATGTACTTCGGAGTAGAAAGAGAAAAATCAGAAAGGAGCAGCAGGCAAAAAAGAAGAAATAAACTTTCACTGAACAATATTTCCAGAGCAAAACACTTGTGGAAGCAATAAGAAACACGTTTTGAACCACCCCCAAATAAAAGGAAAAAAATACAGTGACCAAAAAAGGGGAATGTGCACCTGCCCCCCAGGTAACCTGCTCCTCGCTTTGACACCGGGTCCACGGAGCGACGCAGACACCTCGGCCAAGGGGGCAGCTGCGGTGTTTGAGGGAGGGGGCACGAAGGGCACCACGAGGGTCCGGCTCCCCTGCGTCGCGCTCTGGACCTGCGCGTCTGCGGCAGCTCCCGCGTCCCGCCGCACAGGGCGCCGGGGATGCTGCCCCCACAATCTTTCTCAGTCACATGCGAGCAAGTTTAAGTCGTCTGAAACTTAAGCCTCATAAAGCCCAGAACAAAATCGTGGCAGCTGTTCACCCACAAGCGAGGCCATCCAGCCGTTACTGAAGGCACTGTCTCGCCAACAACTTCTGAGGGAGTGGGGGAAGGGGAGACCGGTGGCACCTCGTCACGCGAGTCCCAAATACCTACTCCCACCGCCCGGCCCCCGGCCCGCTCCGGCTCCTCAAAGAGGTGGCCCGCCGGGCGCTAAATCGGAGGTTCGCGAGGAAGGTGGGTGACGGGGAGCCGGTCCACCCGCCCACCCGCAAGGTAGCTGTCGCCCAAGTTGACCAGGGCGGGCGGGGCCTTCGCTCTTTCCGCCTCTCAGGGGCTGGGTCGGCCCGAGACGTGCGCCTCCACCCGCAAGCCGGTGGCCAAAGTTGGCGGCCGCCGGAGGTCGCCGCCCTGGCCACGGCCTCCCGACCACCGCCCGGCCCGGACCCCGACACTGGTTTGACACCCGGCCCCCGACAGCGGGCCGGACCCCGACTCCCGGCCCAGACTCCAGCTCCACCTGTGGACCCCGCCCCCGGCCCCGCCCGTGACCACTCACTCACCGAGAGCGTGCCCACGGGCCAGCCCGCGGGAGGCCCGGCCGGGGTCAGGAGTGGAGACGGGGTGATCCGGAAGGTGGCGGAGGAGCCTGAGGCGACTGAGTCTGAGAAGTCTGAAGAGACTGAAGCGACTGAAACGACTGAAGCGATTGAGGCGACTGAGGCGCCGGTAGCGGTTCCTAGCGCTCCAGCCGAGGCGCTGCGCGCGGCGCGAGCCCGCCCCCTCTGTGCGGCTGACCAATCCTGCGCCGCGCGCCGCCACTGGCCCCGCCCCCTCCAAGTGCAGAATCCCGCGAAAGCGGGCCCCGCAGACCAATCGAACGACGGAACGGCGAGTGAACGGCCAATCAGAGCCCATGAAGCTCTCCTGAAAGAAACCAGCAACGTTGCGGAGGCGAGGGCTGAACCGGGCCAATAGCAATGGGGCAGTACGAAAAGTTGGGGTGGGCAAGGGGCAGGGTCTTGGGAGGGCCTGTCATCGGCCTGGGGCGGTTCCGAGGGGGTGGGCCACTGGGCGGGGCGGGGGCAGGGCCAGAGCTTGGGCGGGGCTGTAAGTGGGAGCTGAGTGCGACCGTGCGCGGACCGGTTACTAGCCTGGGCGGGGCTTGGGACGGGGCAGCGGGTGGAACCACAGATAGGGTGGGTCCAGGGCGGGTCCCTGGCCAGGGAGTGGCCTGGGAGATCTCAGCGTCGGAATCGCGGAGTGGGCCTGGACTCGCCCAGAGCGAGTGACCGCTTCCTCCTAACCCAAGGGCTGGGGTCCTTCGGCGATAGATAAAGCAAACAGTCCTCCCAGACCCTGGGCCTGTTCCCGAGACCCCGCCGAGTCCCCCACCGGCCCCGGCCCCTTCCCCTACCCGGCTGAGCTCCGACGCCCACAGCGAGCCCGATTTCCCCATCTGCCCCAGCGCCCTGGTAGATGTCCCCTTCTTCCACGCCTCAGAATCTGTTTATCGGCAGTGTTCCCGTCTGCCCGTGGGGCCGACCAGGGGCGCAGGTGGGCTTACACGTGGGCGTTCGCAGGTGCCTGGTCAGCACACCTGCCCACAGGTGACCCGGGACGAAGACCGAGACCGGCTGAAAAGCTGGGCTGGCCTTGGGATCAGAGCAAGTCCGGGTGTTTCGTACCATTACCCTTTCTCCACACCCCCTGGGCTGCGGTATGCTGTTTTGTTTCTATTCCGGTCATTTTCGTGGCTCTGAACTCTCGTGTCCCATCTGTGCATTGTGGCCTATTCTCAGCAAGAATTATTTCTTCCAGCGCAGCATCCACGTCATGAGTCAGGTCACAAGCGCTGCGGTAGCCTCAGACCCCCGGGAATCACCAGGGAGCTAGGTAGCCGGCCAAGCGGAATCCTAGGACGTCGCCTTCACCGGGCCCGGAGCCCGGCATAGTGTTCATGCTTGCTCATCCTCTTTCACCTCCGAGCAAGAGGAGGGGGCAGCCAGAGGCCAGAGCAGGGCTTGAGGAGGCTCCTGGGAATGGCTGTGTCCTCCACAAGCATCCCTTGCTGTTCTCCCAAATGGTGCTCAAGGTTTCATTGGCACCATTTGCTCTTAGACAGGGACAGGAGGCATTTCCTGGGCCTCTGAACCCTGCTGTTTCCTGGGCACAGAAAGGTGGAAAGAGAACCGCAGGAAGCCCACCCACTCAAAGGTTACCATTATGACCTCTTTTCTGTGTGTGGAAGCATTAAAAATGGCCTAGTACTGGAACCTCACCACAGGACACAAGATACACCTGGCTGGCACCCAGAGGCAGACAAGGCTGGGCAACACCCAGAGAGAAAGTTCTGGAGGGTCCACACCTGAGAGGGTTGGCAACAGGGAAGGGCAGGAAGCTGTGTGCTCCTGTCCTCACATGTCACTTTTGTAAATCAAAAACAACCTTTAAATAAGAAAGGCTGCAGGCTGGAGAGTGAGAAGGGTCTGGGTGGGGCTACCTGGAAAGGCAGCAGCAGGGTTCATGAGTACTTCCTAAGATGAGGTCTGGTGGTAAGGACCACGGGAGCAGCTCCCAGCAGTGTTGGTGACACCCTTCGAGTTCAGAGCAGGGAGATGTGATTTAACTGTGTGCCCTGGGGGTAAGAAGGAGAATGTAGCAGCAGAGGGAAAGCAAGGCCCTGGTTCTGTGGTCCCATGGTGAAGACACTGGGACATGACACTGGGACTTGAACAAGAAGGAATGATGGCAGCACATCCAGCAGGACTTGGACCAGGAGACCAAAGCTGCAAGGATTCCCAGCGTCCGAACTTCGTGGCTCTGTCAGCTTCAGTTTGACTCTGCAGGCAAAGGGGCCAAAGGGACCCTTGAGGACCCTATTCCCAAAGCCAGAATGCACAGAGGAAGCACAATCAGAGCACCCTCAGCTCTCCCCTCCAAACCACCCTCCCTCCTAGATTACAGGCTGCCAGCCTCCCACTTCCCCATCCTCTCCGGGAGCCGGAGGCCTCTCAGCTGCCTTCATCGCCTCCTGAAAGACACAGATAGTCATTAGAAAAGTAATGATAGTGTTTTCGGGACAGCATGTTGGACCCTAACAACTTTCAATTATTTCCAGTTCCTGGGAGGAAAGAGCAGCTCATCTCCTGCCTCCGCCCTTGACACACAAGACAATCCGTGTCTGCTGGCATATTATCATAAGCTAGAAGATCTGTGAAAGCCGAACTGCCGCCCGGAGCAGCCTCCACCCCCACACCACAGCAGCTGGGCGGGGCGGAGCTGGCCTGGGCTCAGCTCCGCCCCCTGAACAGGACCAGCCCGCCTTCGGGTCTCCACCACCAGGTTGCAGTGCTTCCTCTATGTTAGCATCGTGAGTTTGCTTTCGCCGTTGTCACCGCAGTCCTACCCGTGAGAAGTGCACCCAGGGGCCCGTGTTTATAAATAACTCCATGATGTCTTGTTGAGGGGAGCGGGGAAGGAAGGAGCCACATAATTATCATCTGCTTGGAATGATGTCAGACTAAACCCTGGCAAGTCTCATCGCAATGGCCTTCCTGATTGTCATACACATCCATGCCACCAGGGAGTGTGGCCACGTTATCACAGGCTGGAGCATCTGGAGAGGTGGGGACGGGAGCCTTGTTGACTCCATATTAGACGGCTTCAGAAGACGGACAAGGCGGGGAGGGAGGTAGAATAGTTACATACAGAAACAGGCCCAGCAGTAATTAGTGTTAATGTCCTCCCAGGTGTGTAGATCTCCCCCCCCCCCCCCCGCTCCCTTGCACAGGGAACTCAGGACCCCCAGCTGCAGGGGCCCCTTCACCCCTGCTATGGGGAGAGGTCTTCTATGGAGTGTAGGGCACCAGAAGGACCTCCCCCCACCCCCTCACCCCTATGAGCTTGCCACAGTGACAACTCACGTTGTGATCGCAACCACGCTTATGCTCACCTAAACACAATTTTTCGAACGGGGTGCAGGGGAAGTTGTGCTAAAATACCATTCCAAAAAGAATGAGGAAGAAACACTCTTCTAGGACAAAAACCCCAAGCCACTCCTGAAGTGTGACGGGCCTGCACTCCCTCCCTGCACTGCCACAACTATCCTCACAAAAAGCTGCCTGGAGGAGGCAGGGTCTGCTGAGCTCAGAGGGGATTCTGTGGTAGCCGGGGTGGTGCTGTGAAAATCGGGAAACAGGTACATGGGTCAGCACACAAAGGTTCCTCACTGCAACATCAGAGCCAAAAGATAGCACCTGACTTGTCTTACCTGGTTGCTGAAATATCCCATTGTGGGTTTTTTTTTTAAGGTTTTATTTATTTATTTTTAGAGAGAGGGGAAGGGAGGAAGAAAGAGAGGGAGAGAAATATCAATGTGTGGTTGCCTCTTGCATTCCCCCAACCAGGGACATGGCCCACAAACCAGGCATATGCCCTGACTGGAAATTGAACTGGCGACCTTTTGCTTTGCAGTCCAACACTCAATCCACTGAGCCACACCAGCCAGGGCCCACTGTGACTTTTATTAAGCTGGGCAATCAAGAGGTTTCCCCCAGTGCCTGGTGCCTGTAACCCACCTTCTAAATGACTGTGGGCAGGTCCCAGAGGCAGCAAAGCTAGGACCAATCATGCCTCTAAGGTATGGGCTCAGAAGATGGTGTTGCCAGAAATGGGCTGCATAAGATGCGGTGAGCATGGATGCAGTGTACAAAACAGACACATAGGAAGAAGGACAGAGACAGAGAGAAGGAGAGAGAGAGAGGCAGACAGACAGAAAGACAGAGAAAGGTAAAGAGACACACAGAGACACAAAGAGAGACAGAGACAGTGAAAGAGAAAGAGGAACAGAGAAAGAGAGAGACAGAGGAGACTGAGAGACAAAGAAAAAAACAGAAAGGGGAAGGGAGTGAACTGGATCAGCCAGCCCCAAACCCCCAAGTACTTGTCAAACTCTGGACCGTTTTTTTTTGTTTTTTGTTTTAGCATCCTTTGGGCCCCACCCCACTTTTCTTTCTTTCTTTTTTTTTTTTTTTTAATGCAAGGTTTCTAATATTTTGTGTAAACAAGAGAGGTACTGCCTTCTTGTTTCTTCTCTGAAAAGAACCACCACATCCGCTCACAGGTCACAGGAGCAGCAGTAACTTGGGCCACCCAGACTTTCTTTCTATTTTTGGAAGAATTTCAGGGTGAAAGTGGAAGCCAAAATTCCAGCCCTCCTCCATGTGCCTCAGCCATTAAGCCTCTACAATGAGAACTACTATCTTTGACTCACCACCATCTCTCCCTCCCTCCCTCCCTCCATTGCAGGCGGCAGGTAGAGACTGGGAGGGAAACACAAAACTTCTGACACTTGCAGGGAGAATGTGTAGTCAAGTTGTGTGACTAAATGTTGGGCACTGTGGATGCCCCTGCTTTGTCTACATATATCTACTGGTCTAAAATGGACTCCTACTCACTTGCTTCTTTTTTGATTAGGGTCATGTGAAACTTCTCTATTGACATAAAAGCATCTCCAATCAGCATCAGTGAAGGTGGCTTAAACATATTGATCTGATTAGTAGAACACTCTTGTGATAGAAAGAGGGTAAGGGGACAGGCTTGGCCCAACCCTCCACACCCTTATTTACTTAAGACCCCTATTTTCTTAGGGTTCCATCTATATCATAGGTTCCCAATTGCACTGTCTTTCTACTTTATTAGTATTTGACTCCTGCCATCAAAGACCTCTGATGAGAATCTT